ATGCACACTGAAAATACAGGGTTCAGAAATTTCGAAGCTGTTCATCACTAACTAGCTTACTAATCTCAAATATGATTAAACGTAGAAGAAAAAGTAGAGCTAATTAAGACTGGCATTGATCATAACTGTTTGTTACATTACCTAGAAAGAGATTTGATTCGATCATCATTGTCTTTATCATACCAAATAAAGATGCTAAAATGATGTTTGTTCAAATGAGCTTCAAAAACATCACCGGTTTTGCACAAACCTACAGAGGGAAATTAAAAACAACAAGCATTGATACAAATCAGCTATATATGTAGGTAAATAAAAACAATAAGCCATAGGGAAGCAACAAGAAGAGAACCAAGTATTGGTGAGTATTATAATGACACTGTGAGATAACCAATCAAAATATTTGGAACATGGAAATGAGAGAGTAGTTTAAAGATTCCTATATGATGAATATACGGAGGGAATATAAAGTTATTATCACCAATCAAAGAAAGAGAGCAAAGTTACGCTGGAGTTTTTTAGTAAAAGAGAGTGAAGTACCTTAAGAGCATCTCAAGTTTCTTCTGTAACAGCAGCAGCAACCTCGGACACTTCAGAAGCCTCATGATTCTTGATTTCTGAAAGTGTTTCTTTCCCGATTTTCGCTTCGTTTTCGACCTCGGTCAGTCTCTCGTCTAAAGTTTCTTCTGTAGCAGCAGCAGCAAAAACTTCTGAAGCATCATGATTCTCGATTTCTGAAAATGCCTCTCTCGCGATCTTCACTTCATTTTCAACCTCGATCAGTCTCTCGTCTAGCAACTCTACCGCCTCCATGTGTCCTTCAAATACTTTGAGCCAGTCCCTTTCAAACTCCTCAATCTTTCTCTCTATTGAAGCTCGTGTCATCTTGTCTTCCGCTTTTTGCCTTATTCTCAGCCTATCAACTTCAGTAGTGCTCAGGACTAAACCTCCAGAACCTTTGACATCCTTGTAGACTGGTTTAACATCACGCAAAGGGCAACGTTTTCTGTGCTCTCTCGATGCCTTTTGTGATTCTTTCAAAGCCTTCCTATAACCCTCTACTACACTTGCCATCATACGAAGCTCACTCTCAAGCCTATATATCATTAAATTTTTTCTCTGTTGCTCCTCGAACTTGGCTCTTTCCAATTCCTGAATCATTTCTACCTTATTTTCTAGTTCCCTCATCAGATACTGCTCGTTCATAATAGATTGTCCACGCTCTTGTTCTTTTTCAGCACATGACAACCTAGCTTTTTCCGTCCAGTACTCAATCTGTTCGATGCACATGTCAACTGGAGGTGGTTTTTCATCCCAAGAGGGTTCTTCGGTCCTCAATCTCTTACTGCTGGGGTTATGAGAATGATAAATATCATTCTCGTGATCAATCTCCCTTTTGTTGTTGCCATTCCCAAACAGAGAAGAACTACCTGAACCCATACCCATATGCATGTCAACCCTAGAAGTAAGAAAATCACCACCAGTCGAATTGCCATGAATCTGTAACCCAGAGCCATAACCTAACGGAGATGCATCCCCTAACATGAGATTCTCTTGGCCAACTCCATGAAGGGAATCACCATTTGGAAAAAATGGAAAC